AGTGTGTCTATCTATCCTTCCTTCATAGAAACATAGTGAAACCTCTTCTGCAGGCTTCAATATAAAACCAATACAAGTCCAAAACTGATGTTTTTTCCCATTAAACAAGAGATCCAAGCAGTTACCATCAAAAGCATCTCAAGCCTCTTCAGCCTTTTTTGGAGCATGTTAAATGATGGTAGGTTGCTCATGAGAAGTATATATAACACCAAGCTGAGTTTATCTTATTTTTCATTATTATTATTATTATTATTATTTTGAATCAATTACATTGGACATAATAGGCTACTAGAATATCACACCATCATTTTTAGAAAATAAGAAACTAAGAAATGTGGATTTTTTGGAAATTGTAAAATATTCATGGATTTTTTCCTTGGGGTCTGGATTGACTCATATTCAGATCATATGGTTTATTGAATAAAATCTGAAGTGCCCATTATATCTCATCATCATAATGTACAATGATAAAATAAGCAGAGATTAGAAAAACTGCTGGAAAAGGAGCAATTAAGCAACAGCTTTGAGAAATAAGAGAGAATGAAAACAAGGGCATGTACCAATTGTGTTATATTGTAAAGAAGCTCGTGTAGCAGTCTTGCTTCACATTGATTTTTGTTCCATTAGCTTAAATCAAAATCGTAAGAGACACCTGAGCTCAGTCCAGAGCACACCAGTAGAGAACCATTTCTATAGAGAGCATGTTATAAACAGCGCAGAGGGGGACCGCAAACCTTGTCATTGACTCAACAGTCTGAGTGAGCATACTATGTGTGTGTCTGTGTGTGTATGTCAGCCAGCTCCCAGTCTAGCGCTATTGTCTAACAAGGTCTAATTAGCACTATGGCACAATGAATTAGCATAATTATGCAAACAGGGCTCCGCTAAAGGCCTGGCACAAGGGGAGGCTACGGGGGGCACCTATTACAACACACACGCACATGTGCAGCTTCAAACGTGTGCACACACACAAACACAGGCACTAAGAACACTTAGACACTGGTATAAAGCATTAAACACACATACATAAAGGTGACAGTGCCTCTGAATACAGAAAACACACAGATACAAACATACCTGTCCACCACTTCAACAGAAAGTGACAATAACACAAGCCTGCACGTGCACTGTTCAATGGCCTATTTGATAGGCTATTTATGTATCTAGTATGTTCTGTATGCTGATACCCCTCTTATCTTTCCAAATACATCCTCCAGTCATAAACAGCCCCCATACCACCACAAACATCAGAAATCGGCTCTTCACAACCCTCCCTCAAACACTCAAACATTCAGGGTTTATAGTATTTACCAGCAGGGGTGATAGGTGAAGTCTGTGGGAGATAATAGGGATGACTGAGAGGCTGAAAAGCTAGTAGTCATTTAGACAATGACAGCTGTAGTGAAGAAGCTTCTATTTGGCTTCATTAGGACGCTAGGCTCTTGATTTTATGCACACACAATCACACTGTCATGTTTCCAGTGCTTCAGAGGACATTGTATTGACTTACATTTATTTCCTGCTGACATATCGTAACCATAACCACAACCACTATACGTATAACACTAAACCTTATCGTAACCAAACCCTGACCTTTATCATGCCTTCCACCTAAAATGTATTGATTTACATAATGGAGTCTTGCTTTTTGTCCCCAAACAATTTGTGTAACCCACAAAGTGGCAATACAAACAGATTTGCATCCCGACAGAACGTGTAATGCTATAAGTACTGGCACACACACACAATAAAAATTAGTGTGTGTGTCCATACAAGCACTCTGGTTTGTCACAGTGACCTTTGCTTGAAACATTAACCCAACAAGTGACCCCACAGCCCAACAAGCCCTCTTACCAAAAGCCCCGCGACGTCAACAAGCTTTATCCAAACCCTCTCAAAGACACACACACATTCACACATCCTGTGCCCCAAGGGGCATGAATTGTGTGCTAAAATCCTGACCCCTTAGCAGCAAACAAGCACTGCTAAAACTCCTAACGACACCCATACAAAGCTTTCTAACAATTACAAGCTAAAGAACCGGGAAGGTCAGGAGTTCAGAGTTCAGATAGTTAAAAGTGATCAAGTCCAGACTGAAATAGTCCCAATCATACAATGAAAAGACATAACAAGCAGCAAATGTTACTGCAGATTCATGACCTCTGGATAACCACCAGATGGGGTGCTTTCTATGTATATATTTTACCAAGTGAACGTCATGTTCCGGTCACCTGTCAAGTGTGTGCCATCTTTAGGACATGTGGGTTCCCCAAGGAAGAGCCATTCACAAGTACTGGTCTGATTGATGTCATTCCACAATTCAATTCAATTCAATTCAATTTTATTTATATAGCGCCAAATCACAACAAAAGTCGCCTCAAGGCCTCATTCCACAGAAAACAAACCTGAACCCACTCCGTTCCAAAAAAAAAAAAGTAGCAGTAGGTCAATAACTTCTGATTTTGTGGAAAAAGATATTAAAGCAGCTATTTAGGTTTGTCATTTTAATTCTCTTACTTTTATTTTATTGTGCTCACTTAAGTAGTTTCTTGAGTCCGCTTGCCTTGTTGTAGTGTTAGAAAGGTAGTTATACCAGCATTTTCCACTAATATTAATCCATATATACACATTATAGGAGACAGATTAGCCACCTGTCTAGATTGTACCCCACCTCTCACTCTATGACAACAGGAATAGGCTCCAGCACAACCCAAACACAAGCTTGAAGAAAGGAAACTGTATTATCCCATATATTAAAAATGGTACATTATTTAAAAGTTATCCATAATACATTTATCATAACCTAAATTCTTCACTGAGAAGCCTTACAAGGTCCACTGGTCTTAAAATGAAAGTACTGACTCTGACTTTATCTTCGCCTTAAGAAACAATATATTGTTCAATATACTGTGGGATAAATACAATAGCTGGGACAGAGGGTCACGCTGAGAGGGGGGGTAGCAATTTTAAGCTGAGTCCACACATTTTGGAAGCAGTGTGCTAATCCGGCCAGGCTTTTTAGCCCGCTATTCAGGAGGACAAGGACCCCTAGGATTTGGGCTTGTCCACACCTCAGGGGTAGGGGATTATCAAGACAGCAGGAAAGGTGGAGAGGGAGTGATGGTGGGTGAAATGAATATGTGTTAATTAGCACAGTAGCAGTAGATTCTCTAAGTATTGTCCCTGCCTGTATATCTTTGTGACGAGCACACATAAGTAAGTATGTGTGTTTGTGTATTTTAGAGAGGTTTCTCTCTGACTCCCGCCCTCAAAAATATACCCCAGAGCTCTGACAGGGTCACCTCTGGGCCTTTCAGTGCCTCCTCTCAACCAGTCCTAATTGATCTCACGCATTACTAGCCCCAAACATGGGATGGAGAACAGGAGGGAGATGGCTGCCCTATTGTTTGACGAGTGAGGTCCCCTTGCTGGTGGCTCTCTACTCCTTTCTACACACACACACACACACCTCCGGCATGCCCACCCACCATCTCCCCCTTTTCCTCTTCTATGCTCTCATCTCCGGCTGTGCTAATCCACTGACCAAGTCAGGAACTCAGTTACCCATCTGGCAAAGCATGACTCCAGCTGGGAAGACAGAGAGGTGGAGGGGTAGAAGGAAGAAAGGGGAGCAATGGTGAGAGGGGAAAATTGAGAAAGAGGAATGCGGATGAGGGGGTATGCTCTAAGTAGTTGGAGATTTCTTGTGTGAAGGAGAAAGCCTTTATACAAGTTACTACTTTATATATACTCTAAAGAAGGAAAAGAATGAAAAACAGAGCGAATGAGGTATCTGCAAACCAGAAAGAGCAGTGAAGTGGAGTGGAACAATCCAAAAACATGATGACCTCTTCTTTTTCACTCTCCAAAGAAAAAAGTATTGATCCTCTTGTCTCCTTGTGGAGAAAAAGGATTACCCATTCTAGCAGGTTGGAATGAGAGTTGCCACTGAGCTCTGTCATTACTAATCTGATTCCAGTGTGCAGTGAAGTAGCCTCTAGCCATGGCATTCACCCCTGACTCCCGTGGAACCATCTGGCTGAGTAGCACTAACCCATGACCTTTCTCTAACCAGTCACATGCCTGGGAAGATGGAGCTTCACAAAAAGCTGTATAAAATGGCTCAAAGTGAACAAGAAGCACATATATTGAACATGATACTTAGAAATCCCTTGTTCATATTGCAATAAGACATTTGTTCCTGTCATGTTGCTGCAATATTTTTAATATTAAGGTATAGTTAAAGAGATCTTTTTACTAATATGGACAAAACATTCATGTTATATTTTGGGCAAGTCACTGATTGTGCAAAATACATTGATAATTGTAAGAAACAACTGCAGTTACATTAACTCTGCATATAAAGAATTGCCTGAAATCACATTTTGGAAAAAAAAATCCAAACTGTAGCTGAAAAGCCGCTGTGGTTAAATACAGAGTGCTACAATACATCAACAAAAAACTGTACAGAACAGCCTGAATTAAAAATTTTTTAGAAGTAAACCCATTACTTCTGATAGTCTAACACTTTAAAACAGTTTCAAAGAATGAAGGTCAGAGCGAGTGAAGTGACCACTCCATATCATGGAGCATGTGCAAATCCCTCCTTGACTCATGGTCTTTCCTTTCTCCCAAACCACTCATCAGTGTCGACTGAAGCAATAAGACTGCAACCCACTTTACTTCTAAAGGACATCTGAAGGTAGTTGGGAGGAATGAGCACATGATAAATCACTGTAGAAGCAGCACACGAGAGACACACTCCAATTCAGAGAGAGGGAATCAAACCACCTGCATCAAACCATCAATCAAACACTAACAGAACACAGCATGAGGTTAACCCAAACTTGTAGCGTGGGTGTGCTTGTGTGTCAAGGATAAAAGCCAGGGAGCACTATGGGTAAAATGAACTCCGCTGTGAACATAATCATATGCATGCTCTGATAAACACTCAAACACATTACAAAGACAATGCCTAGTAAGATAAAGCATGTACTTACAGACATTACCGGTGTTGTCAAAACTGTTGAGCACTTCATTAACTCTAAGAGGTCCCATGTTATCCCTTAGAGATACAAAAATATAAATGATTATACAGCACGCTTGGAACATAAACTATCCTTTTTTTTATATAGATCAGCGGTCCCCAACCCCCGGGCCTCGGACCGGTACCGGTC